GCCAAAGCCATTCTCTGTTTTTTCCTCTTTCAATATGGTGGGTGCATCTCTTTTGAAAGTGTGTTCTCAACTTTTTAAAAGTCTATTATTAACATTTTTAACGGATTTGTATTACCTTCTCAAGGATTTTCGATTATTTATCGTTCGAATTGTGCATATTTTTATGAGCCTATAATTCTATATTTTTATCTGGTTATCTAGCCTTTCGAATTTCGAAGAAGAAAGGTGTGAAAATTACGAAGAGACTCACCGAGATATTCACCGAGTAGACTACCTCTTGACTTACAGGGATCATTCTGCCCTTACACGTAACTTTCTTTTTCTTTAGTCCTTGCTGGTGTTCTATTCTCCCAGAACGCGTTTTCCTCACTTAATCGGCCTAAACAACACACTTCTTAATTAATTGTATTCTAACACCAGACTCTACTCAACATAGAATCCTGAACGTTCTTATTCAAGAGAAATTCTTTCGAACATTCAATCTTAATCAGAATACAGTTAAAGGGAAGCAACTTTTTCTCCCTTAATTACTACACACCATTACATGATTGTTTTGTATGTTATTGTTTCAATATATATTTTATTGTTGATGCACAATTGGAGTTAGGTTTTTTTCTTGAATCGTTAAATGTATAATAGTTGGATGCTCTTAGAACACGCAATTACATTTGATAACCTCAATGCATAAACCCAAAGCAGCATTTACACCTTAACTTTTAACACTTCTACTTGTGTTTGGGGGTTCCGTATACCCAAAACAACTTCGTCACGTACTATCAAAGCCATGCAGTTGTCGCAAAAGTCACATGTTTTTATTGGCGTCCGTAAAGCAGTTATAAAAGCTTCTGCGCTGTCGGACACTTCTTGTTTCCTCGTGTGAAACACTTGAGTGTGTAAATTCCTCTCTTGAGGGGTATGCACATTCGGATACATACCGGTAATAGGGATCCGTCCCTATGCTGGTAGTATCACAGCTATGACTAGCTTGGACAGGCTCTGACCTGCTTGGGCCAGCTATGACCCGCTAAGACTAGCTTAGACCAGCTCTGACCACCTTGGGCAAGCTATGACCAGCTAAGACCAGTGGCCCGAGTGTCTGCACTCGGGTACCCACATTAAAAACCGACTTTGTGTCACAACCTGACTCATTGGGGAGTCAAGTAAATCAATTCCTCATGTGAAACACAAAACGTTTGTACGTGACATTAGTTTCACCAACTGCACACCTGGCGAACGCTTCAAGAATTTCTTCGGGTGTGTCCGCTGTTCATCGGAAGGGAGAAAATGAAGACCGTTATAAACTTTTAACCCGTCATCCCCCAACGTGTAACTCTGTTTGCTACTGTCGTTGTTGGCCGGGCAAATACGTGATAATGGTCTAGTTATGCCACTTCTGTTTAAAGGGTTCACAATTTTCGGCCAAATTGCCATTCAAACACAGGGACTGCTACTGGCCGCTGAATATGTAGTTCATTTCTAGTCTGGTTCGCCATCTTTTCCTAGACATACGCGGTTGGAATTCTTACAATATCAAAACAAGAACATGAAAATTAACACTTATCAGTTTTCTCTTACACTGTCATCTTTTGCCTTTCGTTGTTCTGTCGTCACTGACTTAGTGTACCGCTGCCCCCATATTTCATTGCTAAGTATCGCCTATAGCCACCGACACTCGACCACACGAGATGACATGTCTGTATTCATAGTAGTCCGTGCTAATTCCAACTGCCTGAACTCCTACGTAAGCGGTATCCCATGAAACAAGAATGTTTTCTCCCGCAAAAATGCTTTTGTGTTTTATTCATTAATGGTCGGATTGCATTTTGCTATCGGTGCAAAACTCATTGTTTACTTACAGTAAGTTTAATGCAGCAACGAAAATAATAAAAGCTGTAGTTTAAGAAATAAATAATCGAGGCCCACCGCGACTGGGATTCGAACCCAGACTTAACTACCAGCTAACCAGCAGGTTCCATTATTACAAGACACTAGATCCCTTCCTTGTGATCCTGTTAAGCAGAAAAGAAAATAATTAAAAACGAAAACAATGAATTAAACTCAAAAGCATCATTTTATTAGTTTTTATTTCATTTCCTTATATATACAGTAGAATCCCTGACAACCGGACTAAGAAGGCTTTCCGGATATAAGGAATTGGTTACAAAGTCCGGATATAAGGGGTTATATTTAGATTAAAATAAAAGAACTGAAATCAGGTATATTTTCAATGTTTTATAGTAAAGAAAATAAGCTAACGGTGAGTGAAATATAACGGAATTGATTTTAAGGAAAAAGAAATAAATTATGTAATGTTAATAAAAATTCATTAAATTAAGTATGCCACGTATGCAAAACAAATAATGTAACGAGAATTTTTTAATCGCTGTTGCATAATGTTTCTTTCTCTTCTAATGTCATTCACAACTTTTTCTGCATTTCGTTTTGCTTTTGTTCTTGAATTTTTTTAAACGAAAGACACTTTTTATCCCTGCGTACGTTATTGCAATTTTCATAGCTGAATGTTGGCTTTCTTTCCATAAAACTGACAACCTTTTCAATAGCTTTTTTCAATTTCAGTCCAGGTTTCATTACAATCATGTTTTTTTTTTATTATTTCCTTGTTCATTGTGACAGTGTGAACGCTGAGGAATAGTTTCTTTGGAAGACTTTATATCATACAATGTTGACTTTCCTATGTTGAACTCCGCCATTAGTTACAATGAACTTTCACCAATGTCTGGTCTGTTTAAAATTTCCACTTTTTGCGATAACTCCAAAGTTGTTCTTTTCCTTTTATTCCCATCATCTTTTGCACCAATGCAAGCCATTAGGGGGGAAATAAGCCTAAGCAATTATCCAAAGTAAATTTCCTGAAATACAGAAATTTCAAATCAATTACATATCACTCAAATAGTTCAAATATACACATCAAAATCATGTCCGGATATGCGAGATTCCGGATATGAGGGATTCCGGATGTGAGGGATTCCGGATATGAGGGATTCCGGATATGAGGGATTCTACTGTATTTCTATGTAGTATAAAAATAAAATCATGAATTCTACTATGCTTCATAAGAGTGCATAGAATAAAACATTTTATTCTTAAGCTGTTACGGTTCTGTAAACAAAGCGTATTTCATTAGGCTTACCGACATAAACCCTCTTCAACAAATTTTACACACACAACTTGAAAAAAGCGAAAAATCATCTACAAAATATTAATTCTTACCTCAAGCGTTCAATTGAATATTTCAAGCTGTCTTTCTAGACTAAGAACAGGTCAACTCAAGATATTTTAGAATTCCACGGCACGGCACTGAATTAACAATTTCTAAGTTCTTCAATTCAACAGTAAAAACTGACAATTTCTAAAATCATAAAAAAAAGCCTCGAAGTAGCGAGATACGCAGTGGTGTCACGTGTTGGTCATCTTCCCGCCAATGATTGCCGGAGTTCTGTAAAGATATTTGTCACCAGCCAACAAGAAGGCAGCTCACAACAAAACGAAAAGGAGTGTTTTTAAGTAGTGACGAGGTTCGTGAGAGAATTTCCTTAACCGAACTGTTTTAGAAATGGATGTTTCCTGTAACACTTCCCCTCGTCATCTCTCCACATTTTAACTTATGAAATGTATTCTAAAATTTTTACGGGTAAGAAAACATAGCTTACCTCTTGCCGCCTACACCCGGTGGAGTAACCACGTTTAGTGGTCCGGTCCTCAGTTTCTTAGGACGAAGTTTTAACCACAGGGCTAACTCTGCGCTGGTCAATGCCGCTGGCCGCTTCGATTCACATCAAATCTGCCCACGTTGTGTTCTTGATTTCAGAGCAGTGGAAGATCATAGTAATCGCAGCACTGATTTAAGGAAGAAAAATACCTTCACGGCGAAAAATTAAACGAAAGATTCATGGGGTTAATCTTCAATTGGTTTTATGTAGCCCTTGTTACAACAAAAAATAACAATCTCTATAGTGACACTGGACCTCGTCTAAAATTCTGGGGAGCTGAGTTCAACAGAATCAGGAAATTTGGTGGCAGCTGACGTAGATTCCAGAGGCACTCGATGCGGGTTCTCAGCCCCAAGTCTCCGAGCTCCCAAAGTCATCTGCTTATATGGCCCAAAACTGGCGTGGGATTGAAGGCTTCTGGAGATTCGGCGATTCCCCAATTTTCACATTAATCCCACAAGGGTGTGTTTGTTCCCTGTATCTGCTTTCTTGATCAATTTTCCAAATTTGGAGGATTATCAACCCTTCTTAGGAGTAGTCATAGACATTCTCACCTAACTCCAAACTGCTTCACTTCATATCTCACACCAACACTCCACACAGACGGCGCTAAATTGTGTGTCTTCCTCTTTTCTTCTCGGTATTCAAACACTGCCCACCTCTCAGAGCTGGCACCACTGTCTTTGTGACAAATCTAATTTTAAAAGTGCGTAGGTGAAAGAGTGTAGTTTATTCTTATCATTAATTTCAATTCTCTAACTCCTTTCCACTTACCTAGAATTACCTCTGTCCAGCGAGAGCACAAACCTGACCACTGCGTTCTCATTTAACCTTCCGAGCGAGAGATAAAATTATTTCCCAATTTGTTTTCGTCAACGAAAATATGTGCATTTATCTAAATTATCAACAAAGAGACAAGCCGTTCTCCAACCTCGAGCCGTGCGCCGTCTCAGCAAAAACACAGACCAGACCACCTGCCTGTCACGACAGGATTGATTTTCATAATCCTAAACCTCATAGCGTGTTCAATACCCGTTTTCATTTCTCAATTCGTTTTCGCCAACGAAAATATAATTCCCGTCTGACTCTTCTTGTTAATGACATGCGTTTTTCTAATTTCTCAAGAAAGTGATAAAGCCATTTCCGAATTTGTTTTACCTGAATATGCCAGATTATCGATGGATAAAAAAGTAAATTCTTGGTGCATCGTTCCAGTTCGTAGGTTGGGGGACAATCCAGATGGCCCTTTTTTCACTTCCACATTAACAGGGAAAATCTCTCTCTCTCTCTCCTCTCTCTCTCTCTCTCTCTCTCTCTCCTCTCTCTCTTTCTCCCCCCCTCTCTTTCTCTCTCTCTCTCTCTCTCTCTCTCTCTCTCCCAGTTTATTTCAGTTTATCTTCCATTTTGGGCGTAACGTTTTTCTGCTCAGAATTAACATTTAACCACCTCACGGCCTCAGTGTCGCAGGTTATCTTGAATGTTTTATTATTATTACTCTATTCCAATTCAACCGCCCACTTTCAAAGATGGCGAAAGTGCCGTGGACATTCCGTCAATGTCATTAATTCATTCTTACCATAAGCAACACGCAGCCATTTTGCTCCTCCCTTTTCACTACACATTTCATCAGGGAGTTCGTCTACTTCTATTTGTCTACTTTTCTCCACGCAGTTTGCTCGGCAGAAATGTATTCCATTTATTCGCTTGTAGTACTAGGCTAAGTTTAATAATTAAAATAAAATTAAAATATTTTTTAAAATACCCTGATAATTATCTCCTACTTAACACCTCATTAACATTAACACCGACATTTTTAAGTACAGGTCAATCAGTTAACTTCGCTTCTGATTCCAGATACTTGAATAAGCAAAACAAAGGATCAAAAACTCTGTACCAAAGTGAAGGACAATCCTACGGGCACTCACTGACCGCAATATAAACCCAAGTAAAGAAGGCTTTGTGACAGTTCCCTTTACCCTTTCGGCAGAAATGTACAAGCTGATAAACTTCTCTAACCCCAAAAGAACTAATCAGGACGACTGCATGCTACAAATAGGAATATATATATATATATATATATATATATATATATATATATATATATATATATATATATATATATATATATATATATATATATATATATATATATATATATATATATATATATATATATATATATGCATATATATATATATATATATATATATAAATATGCATATATATATATATATATATATAGCATGCATATATATATATATATATATATATATATATATATATATATATATGCATACAGATAATATAGTGGTCAATATGTATATATATATATAAATAAATATAAAAGTGGACATTGAAGTCAGCACTTAGGGCGATAGGCTGTTTCATGCTAGACGCATGGCCTGACGATTGCGTCTAGCATGAAACAGCCTGTCGCCTCTAAGTGTTGACTTCAATGTCCACTTTTATCCTATCTCTGATATTGAGCACTTTATCCCATAAATATAAGTACACCTTAAGACTATATTTCTTCATATATATATATATATATATATATATATATATATATATATATATATATATATATATATATATATATATAAATTCTCAGAGGATAGAATCCAGGTAGAACTCGATCCAGGACAGAGTAAGAATATAAAAGACTCAAACACTAATATTCCATAGTTATAATTTATTACATTGGAATCGTAATCACGATCCAAAATCCAAATTCAAATAAATATATATATATATATATATATATATATATATATATATATATATATATATATATATATATATATATATCAACGTACCGCGATCTAAAGTCTATCGCACGAGGATACAATTTGTATTCATGATACAAAAATAAATCTTCCAAAACAGTGTTCGTACATTCATCCATTTTGAATGTAAAAAACAACATTCGGCACCGCCCCCTACACGCTCAAAAAGGGATCAAGATCTTTACTTTCCGTGTACAAAGACATAAACACTTTATTATTATTATTATTATTATTATTATCATTCATCACCCTTCGTGTCTCTGCTGTATTTAACTTGAATAAACGGCTGGAAAGATAGCTGATGCGATTGGATTGAAGGTCTTTTCAAGGCTAATGAATTGATGCTATAATGGGGTCTGGAAAAGCCGTCATCGGTTTGTGCTTTGAAAGGGGAAGCAATGCAGTTGAAATGTCAACAATGCGCAAAGTATAGAAGAGGCGGTTCCATCCTCTTGGGCTTTTCATATCAAAAGCGCTTTGTAGCGTTGCTTGTTTAATAATTCAAATTTGGGCGGCGAAGTGAAAAACTAATTCTGAATGAGGAAATGAACATTAACATTAACCAATCAATTGTTTCCATTTTTCTTCAAAGACACTAACTGAAAGGCTGAGCTGTGCGCATGCGCACAAAAAAATGATAAAAAAAAAACGATGGCATTTCGATTCTGACTGCGAAGTCTCAATGCGTATCCAACTGAGTGTAAAAGATTCTGTCAGTCTCCACACTAAGTACGTTTACATTTCCGGGTGAGTGTGGGTGGAGCGACGTGTGAGTGTCAATCACTCAGGAAGACACAGGAAGCTTGACCTTTCCAGCCAAAAAACAAACGAAAAATCCAGAGACCGACGTTGTTTGTCTTGACTTTTCCTATTTTCACCAAGCAACTTGCACCTCTAGAGTATTACAGCTTTTAGAAGCATACTAGAATTCGAAGCAAGTACTACTCGCTTTTGCCTATAATAATCAGATGATAGTAGAGACATAGCACTTTAAAACATTTAAGAAAATATGAGGATGATGAAGTGCTGGAAAATTCTCGACCTGAACCATTGACCAAAATCTGACCAGATCTTCAGAATTTACGGAGAATTCCTTCTTGGTAGGGTTAAGAACATCTTCTACAATCTGTGGGAATTTAGCAAAATGACGCAGGTAGATGTGAAACATTGAGTTATGGTTGAAATAAAATCTTTTAAACAAAATAAGAATGTCTGGTTGCATTTATAGGTAGTGGTTTATTTAGAAAATATGCGACGGGAGAATTATTGATATTCCCCGCAAATTATGAATATCCCCCACAGATTATGGATATCCTCCACAAATTATGAAGATCCCCCCACAGATTATGGATATCCCCACCCCACAGATTATGGATATCCCCCACAGATTATGGATATCCCCCACAGATTATGAATATCTCACGCAGATTATGAAGATACCCCACAGATTATGGATATCCCCGCAGATTATGAATACCCCCCCCAAAAAAAAAATTATAGATATCCCTCACAAATTATGGATATCCTCCACAGATTATGATTATCCCCCACATATTATGGATATCTTCCGTAGATTATGGATATTCCCCGCAGATTATGAATATCTCCCACAGATTATGAATATCTCCCACAGATTATGCGTATCCCCCACAGATTAAGAATATCTCCCGTAGATTATGAATATCCCCTTACAGATTATGGATATCCCCCGCAGATTATGGATATCCCCCCATGTTATTGATATCCTCCACAGATTATGGATATCGCCCACAGATTATGAATACAAAAAATGCGTCTACCAGGTTGATATAAAATGCATACACCAGCGAATATTCCTGATTTTTGTAATGGGTATTTGTGCTAAGGAAAAGATTTTATGTTCCTTGTGAGAAGGGGGTTTCTTTGCAACATAAATTTATGCTAACCGAATAAGATGAAACAGTTGCATGACGGTTAGAAAAAGCCATAGCTTTCGAGAAATTCACAATTCATGTCCATAAGCGCAAATGTTGGTTGGTTTAAAATAGGCATTTGAATATCAAATAAAAAAATTAAAGCAGAATTGTGTTTAATTACATCAAATACAAACGGTTAATACAATCAAAGAGGTTGGAGACGATCAGTCGACTGACTGCCGGCTGAGAAAAAAAAAGTTCCTTGCATCAATTCAATGCTTCAAACTACATTTTTTTCCGAATGTTGACTAATTTCGTTAGAACAGACTCCAGATATCTAATCTCTAAAGCTATTCAAACTAATCACGCTGATCATCTCAATGTGTCAAACGTGAACTCTTTTCAGGAGAATTCAACGAAAAGATTTCCAATAAAATATAACACCATACTGTTTCCTTTCCAAATAGCAAACGAAATGTCGGAGATCTTATGCCTTTCAGAAATTGAACAAAGCATTAAGGCATTGGGAAATGCATCTTAGGGATAAAACAAAGAGGGCTGGTAAAGGATCAAGAGTTGTTTAGAGCAACAAAAGACAGAAAGGCCAAATTACGTAAAAGAATATATACACGCATAATAGATATCGTTCAGTTTTGTAGACATAGGAAGGAAGAGCTGGGTCGAAATAAAGGCAACATACCTCGCTTAGTAGGATGAATCAATTGCACGTGCGGAAACAAGCTCTGAAATACAACGTATCCTCCCCCCTCCCCTCCCCCAGGAAAACTGTATACACTTTTACTCTTTATTAATACGCTTTTTTAAGTGCATCTGGTTTGAAATAATAGCCGAAACGAAATTCAGCTTTTCAAGTACAGGTGAAGGTTAGGGAAAATGGAGTTCTTTTAGAGCAGTGGTTCTCAAATGGTGCGCCTGGGCGCAATGGTGCGCCCTGGAAGATGTCTAGGTGCACCCTGGAATTCCAGAGAAATACGTGTCCATATATAATAATATATTTACTTTATTAGATTGCATTACCCGTCTCGTTCATATTTATGTGAATTAGGCTTTTCTGTTCTCAACACAGTTAAGTGCAAAAAGAGAGGAACTCTTCAATGTATCGAGGAGGAAATGAGAGTTTGCCTATCAAATATACGTCCAAACATTAAAGAAATTGCTAAGACTCACCAGACTCATGTTTCTCATAAACACAAGAATGAATAAACTTAAGGCATGTTTCAGTTTATATTTTTTATTGCATTATTTCTTTTCTGCAATATTTGACTTCATTATAACATATTTTTCCGAAATTTGTATATAATTTCGCCTATAATTATTGGTAGGATTTCAATTGCGCCAGAATTTCAGAAAGTTTGAAAACTACTGAAGTAACCTGTCTCTTCCATCATATAACTTTGAAGGAAAAATTTCCAACATTTTTCTTAACAAAATCATTTATTCAAACAAATAAATAACAGTAAATAATTAAAGCAATTATTACACATAGAATAGGGTTATTTTATATAATAGTGGTCTCTTCGTATTCAAGTATGCCCAAAACATTAAAGAAATCGCTAAGACTCATCAATTGGTGCTTCTTATAAACACAACAATGAATAAATTTAAGGCATGTTTCATTTTATATTTTTATTGCATTATTTCTTTTCTGCAATATTTGACTTCATTATAACATTTTTCCGAAATTTGTATATAGTGCGCCTACAATTATTGGT